GTTAGTAGCACAACATATTACAGTCTCCACCCGTGGCGGTTCTGTAGTGGAAAGCAGATCCTCAGAAAGATTTGCCATGCTGAACACATCACCAGCCCACAAGATCATTCCCAGATTCCTCCCACAACATCAGAGCAGTGATGCCACTTCTGAGAAAGTGAAACAAGACTCTAAAAAGTACAGTACCCCATCCTTTCAGGTTTTCAGCTTTTATTGAAACTTTTCCTTGAAGCCCAAGAAAATAAAATCTGCCACTTTTTCCTCTTCTATTTGCCATGAAGTAATGGGACCGGATGCCATGATCTTAGTTTTTTGAATGTTGAGTTTTAAGCCAGATTTTTCACTCTCCTCTTTCACCCTCATAAGAGGTTCTTTAGTTCCTCTTTGCTTTCTGCCACTAGGGTAGTATCATCTGCATATCTGAGGTTGTTGATATTTCTCCTGGCAATCTTGATTCCAGCTTGGGATTCATCCAGTCTGGCATTTCACATGATATATTCTGCATAGAAGTTAAGTAAGCAGGGTGACAGTATACAGCCTTCTTGTACTCATTTCCCAATTTTGAACCGCTCTGTATTCCATGTAAGGTTCTAACTGTTGCCTCGACCCACATACAGGTTTCTCAGGAGACAGGTAAGGTTGCCTGGTTCTCCCATCTCTTTAAGAATTTTCCATAGTTTATTGTGATCCACACAGTCAAAGACTTTAGCATATCCAATGAATCAGAAGTATATGTTTTTCTGGAATTCCCTTGCTTTCTCTATGATCCAACAAATGTTGGCAATTTGATCTCTGGTTCCTATGCCTTTTCTAAACCCATTTGGAAGTTCTCTGTTCTGCTGAAGTCTAGCTTCAGCTGTGAGCATAACCTCACGAGCATCCAAAATAAGCACAACTGTCTGGTAGTTGGAACATTCGTTGGCATTACTTTTCTTTGGGATTGGAATGAAAACTGACATTTTCCAGTCCTGTGGCCACTGCTGAATTTTCCAAATTTGCAGGCATATTGAGTGCAGCACATTAACAGCATCGTATTTTAGGATTTGAAATAGGTCAGCTGGAATTCCATCGTCTCCACTGGCTTTGTTTGTAGTAATGCTTCCTAAGGCCCATTTGACTTCACACTCCAGGATGACTGGCTCTAGGTGAGTGACTACACCATCATGGTTATCCGGATCATTAAGACCTTTTTAGTACAGTTCTTCTGTGTATTCTTGCTACCTCTTCATAAACTCTTCTGCCTCTGTTAGGTCCTTACCACTCTGTCCTTTATCATGCCCATCCTTGCATGAAATATTCCCTTGATATCTCCAATTTTCTTGAAATGATCTTTAGTCTTTCCCATTCTATTTTTTTCCTCTACTTTGCATTGTTCATTGAAGAAGGACTTCTTATCTCTCCTTGTTATTGTCTGGAGCTCTGCATTCAGGTCTCTCTCTTTCCCTTCCTCATACACAACCTGTACTAATACACAAGGATGGTTTTAAGCTCCTTATTAACAGGATCAGAAATACAGGGTACTCTAAAGGATTTACAGGAAGCCTGTATTTAGTAGAAACTGTGACTTAAAGAGGAATTTTATAACTCACAGCTAGATAAATTCCCAAAGAGAGTGTTGAGAAAAATGGAAATCCACAGAGTGGTTTGCCTTGGATAATAACACTGATGCATGTCCAGTAGAATGAGCATCTTCCTTTTGGCTTCATTCACATCTCAGAAGTGCTGCTTTCCATCGACTTACTGGCACGCTGGGCAACGGCACTTAAGACATGAGGGACTGCAGGCATTTGTAGACCTGGACTTATGTGTTATTCTATTCTCTTTCGCTGGGGACACAGCGTTTAGGGCAGAAAACCTTGGTCAGCCCCAGAGGGACTGTGATTCTTAGTCTCTTAGCATATGGGGGTGGAGGGTGGGACAAGGTTCATCCCAGAAGCAGCTCTTGGTTGTCAAGGGACATCCTGTTTTCTTCTTAATGCTTTCCAGCTGGGGTGACTTCAGGCCTGGGGAGTTCAAGTGATTTACTCAAACACCCAGTGGAATCGACCAGCTGGGACTTGAACTCGAGGATTTGCTGCTTGCCCTGGTCAGTCAGCGTTCTGCTTCCTGCTTTCCGCCTCTTCTCTGAGCTGTACCCAGCAGCCAGCGGGCTGCGTCTGGTGCAGCCCGTCCGCCCAGCTGTCCCCACTCAGGACTGGAAGAAGAGGCATGTTACAGGTCAAGTCTCAATGTTCTGGCAGTGCAGCGTCAGGCAAATTGCTCCATGCCTGCTCAAAGCATACAGTGTCTGGCAAGAGTCAGATTGAAGATAGCTACACCCACACGCCAAGATTGGAAAAGGAAAAACTTAGCTCACACTTTTCCTTTGCGTGGTGACTTTTCTTCCCTTTCCTTTTTTTCCTTTTTCTTTCTCTCTTTCTTTTTTAAAAGAGGGAATCCCCCTGTTTACAAGTTGAAATCCAAAATGCACAAGTGATCAGTTTGCAATTCTGTGACCCATGAACATCTGTGGGCCTGGGTGCTCCCTGGGAATTGGCAGTGCCCGAGCTGTGAGCCAATCCTGCCCTAGCCAGAAAGGAATTCTTGGGTGAGTGCAACAGTCAGGGAGTGAGGAGGCCTGTGAGTGATCAGGGACTCGTTGTCCTCTAGTTCTGGTTTTCCAGGGGCATGCCTGCACTCAGCTTCAACTTGTTTTATGAGCCCATTTGACTTTATTTTTTGAGATGGGTCCATCTGAAACACCTTACAGGAAGCAGAACACGACTTTTCATTTTGCCCTTAAGAAAAATAAAACTATAATTTGAGATGGGCAAATGTGGTCCAACTCTGTTTATCCAGAAACAAGAACCACGGTGTCCTTTGAGTGGGCTTCCCAGGTGGCGCTAGTGGTGAAGACCCGCCTGCCAGTGTAGGAGATGTAAGAGACTTGTGGGTTTGATCCCTGAGTCAGGAAGATTCCCTGGAGGAGAGCATGGTGACCCACTCCAGTATTCTTGCCTGGAGAACCCCATGGACAGAGGAGTCTTGCGGGCTACAGTCCATGGGGTCGTAAAGAGTCAGACATGATGCAACTGAATTAACTTAGCATGCACAGCAGGTCCCTTGAGTAGAGAGAAAGATTTCAAATATTTATTTTGACACTGGTCTTTAAGAACTGAAGTGTTTGGAAACCAGCAGGGCCTCCATCTGGAGAAGAGGATCCTACAGCACCAGCTCCTATAGAGTGGCTCCTATAGAGCCACAGAGGACAACTCGCTTGCTGAGTTCAGGGGGCAGGAGGCACTGAGTAGGGCTAAATATGCCTTATTTCTACTGATGCTAGGTCAGTAGATGGACTCCGGCTCTCTCACCATTTTAGAGTTTTAGTTTGGTAGATACTCAAAAGTTAAACAAACTGAGTGGAAAAAGTTAGCCTGTGATGGGTTTACATCTTCCATCTGGATCTTGGTTTCCTCATCTGCGAAATGAGGGACCCGATGACTGCTGGATCCTATTGCAGCTCTCGGGTTGCGGGGGGCAGGGGGCATCTGTGACTTTTTAGGCTTGCTTCTCTCATCTGCTCTAACTTTTCTGCTGTAATCTGGGTGTTATGGGCTGAATGGTGTCTCCATGAAAATCATATGTGGACCCCTGGTTCACAGTACCTTAGAATGTGATTAGTATTTGGAGATAGAGTTTTTATAGAAGGGGTCAAATTAAAATCAAGATTTTCAGGGTTGGCCTTAATCCAATTAAGACTGGGATCCTTATAAAAAGAGAATATTTGGATATAGACATGAAGGCACATGGAGTGAAGACCAACTGAAGACAGGGAATAGATGGCCATGTGTAAGCCAAGAAGCAAGGCCTCAGAAGAAACCAATCCTGCCAACATCTTGAGCTCAGATTTCCAGCCTCTAGAATTGTGAGAAAATACATTTCTGTTGTTTAAGCCATTCTGTGGGACTCTATTATGACAGCTCTAGCAAACGAATACACTGGTTTACACCACAGTGAGCTTTCCGAGCTGGGAAAGAAGCTCCATGTGTGTGTTTTTTTTTTTTTTTAACAGATTCTTAACCCTGGTGTTAGCTTAAACTTGCCTTTTCTTTCGCAGGATTTCAAGATACTTTAAAAAATCATTTTCTTTGTTACCAGATGGAAGTAAGTTATTTTAGTAAAATAAATCTTTATTTTAACTTGAAGGGAGTTTCACCATTTTGACATGAATCTTTTTCCTGAATGGCTATGGATCATCATTTTGCCTTTTAAGAAATACTGCTATTACCTATAAAATTCATTTGAGGCCAAATAGCTCATTGGATAGGCCTGCAGGTAACAGCCCATTTATAAAGAACTTCAGACCACACAAGCAGCTCCAGAGTGGGACAGAATCTTAGTTTTGTTTAGTCCTTTTGCCTTTAAAGTGCACTCAAACAGCCCGTGACCGGGTTACAGACAAATTAAGTGATAAAGAAAGGTAACCACTTATCACTTTGCTGTTTACGACTCTCAGATTCTTACTTGAAGTAAAGCACGTTTTATTTTACCCTAATAGATTTTGCTTTCATTTAGTACCAAGATTCTGCTTCCAGTCACGTGGAATCGGACTGGAGTGTCTAATGTCTAGAAAGCATGGAGATTCCCTGTCTCTCTGTAACTCCCAGAGAAACTTCTCAGAGAGAGCATTTGTGGATCAGAAGCCGTTCATCTCTGGAGGTTAGAGTCACCCAGCTGTGGAGGCGCTACACGTTTTGGGAAAGAGATCAGAGCACACACCAGACTACCTGAGATGGGAAGTCTTATCTTCTCACGTGATCAGAGGCGGGCAGCGTAGATCCCTCCTGTCAAGGCTGAGGATTCCAACCAAGCACCCTGACACCCAACCAACCACTGCACATAACAACAAAAGCATCAATCTAATTACAAGAGTGTTTCCAGATTTTTAACAATGAATCTTTCCCCAAATCACATCTTAAGGAAGAAGCTTTGGCCCATTAAGCAGGCTGAGGGGGCAGTGAGAATCTGCAGGCACTTTTATTTCCAGCTCTCAACAGAATGGGAAAAAATATCAACTTATTTATATTCATTTATTTACATGGGTAATGAATAAGTTAAGGAACACTTCATCTCAAACACAGATTGCTTTTATTTTAGCTAAGCTAATGTTTCAGTTCCATATATACTTTTGAATTTCCATCAATGTCAAATACCATTTTTTCTTTCTTCTTGAAAAAAAAAAAACAAAAACAAAACGATTTACAAGCACTTTTAGGGCACTCAAGGAAAGTAGGCTGAAGGTTCATAATAATAATTTTCCTTTTAAAAAACATCCATCAGACCAAAATAAAATCATTTTAATTAACTCCTTCCTGAGTAACTAAAACCTTGGAATGTGCTGAAAGGTTATAATAAATAAGGCAGTCAAAGATCAACCAGCTTAAAATGTATTTTTTAAATTAAACTATGTAAAATGTACAATATATTTCATGAAGTACAAACTGTGTTGGGCTCAGGGCCAGAGAAATGTTGTCGTATGTGCCAAATAAACTGATGAAGTGCCTTGACTTCTAGGGCCCAGAGGCTGTTTGTTGGGCAAAATTACATCAAGTCCTGGTAAGTAAATCAGTCAGCCTCTGATGTTACAGTGATTACTGCTGACAATAATTGCTTTTGAACACACAGGTAGAAGTGCTCACATGCACTTGCATTAAGAGGATGCATTTTTTAAAGATGACCAATTGTCCTGATGTTCTGACAACAGCAGAGAACACTCAGGGAACCTTATTTTCAGATAGTGGGATTGCACAGTGTGTAAACTAAGGATTGTTCTTTATAGGCAATTTCAAAGGAGTGATTCACAATGTACCAGGCAATAGCTCTTACTCTATGTTGACTATGACAGCTGTTCTCTGGGTTGATTTTTAAAGTAAGCCTAACAATAGGGCCCTGGTCTCTCTAAACAGGACAAAGGATATTTCCTCTTCTAAGCACATTTCCCTGCATCACTTTCCTGCTCCAGTTCTCTGAAACAGAAAGGAGGCTCACAAGTGGCCAAATGCTGGACTCTGTGCCTCTGTGGTCCCAGCCTTCACTGGACTCCTGCAGGGTGGAGCCTTCTCAATACATCTCATGATAAAGTAGCTTTAGTGCACACTTGACAGGTTCCAAATGACTTGCTTTATATCTTGGCTACCGTCCAATTTTAGTGAACGAAGAAAAAATTCTAGAGAGACTTGTTGGTTTCTGAAAAGTAGAAAATGTGTAGCTTGTGTAAAGTCTGAGTCTTATTTACTGTGAAGTATTCCCAACTCACACTTTGCTAATGCTCCTGAAGGGCTGGCTCTAGGGGAAAAACCTGAAGGAGACAAAATTTGTCCCTAGGATCCTGCCTGCCACTACCACCTGCACTGCCGCTTGTAGGCTGACTGTGTATTATCTGCCCAGAAGTATACGTGTTTTTGGAAGGGGATGGTCACAGATGAAGACATTTCAAAATCCAAAGAAATAGATTGCTGATGATTGAACCAAGGCATCACACAGAGGGGGCAGGTGATGGGAATGGTCTGGGGAGGAGATATTTTGAATGAATGGGCCTGTCCAGCTTCTATTCAGATCACTTTGGGGGCAGACACTTACTAATGAAGCTGGCCAAGCAGTCTCTTACCCAGAAGTTCCTGCTTTTCTTACTGACCTCCTAGTAAGGGTTTCTCAGGAGGGAGCTGCTTCCATAATAAGTTGACTTCAGTTTGAGTGCTGCTTGCACAGAACTCAGTATCACTTTCCACCCCAAACACATACCTCTTAAGGGACCAGAAGGTGAAAGGCACCAGCTACTTGGGACCCTGCTGGCCAGGGGTGTGCCTGGTAGATCATGCCGTCTGTGGTCAGGCTTAGAACTTAGGTCACAGGAATCAAGTGTCAGAGCTACAATCAGTTCCTGGATTTCCAGGTAAAACAATGCCAATGAGAGATGTTTCGTACCAGGGGGAAAGGACATCGTCATGCCATTTTCCTAGGCCACATGTCCTTCAGAGTCGATCTGTCTTGCCTATGCTCTTCCTTACACAGCCAACAAATTCCTTTCCTGGCTATGCTACTTTGAAGTCTGGCAGAATGGAGCTTGTGGACAGAATGTCTCAATGGAGCCTGCCACACACTTTGACCTTGAGAGGTACTCAAGGCTCTGGGCTGATCGAAGGTGTGGCAGAAGCCGACTTGGTCTTTCAGAAACAATACATGTGCTGCTCTGGGTGAAAGTGTCCCCCGAGATGGACCAGGGGCAGAATTCAACCGTGTGGGCAGAAATCACTTATCCAGGGACATCCTCCCTTTCTGATGTCCTTATCTGTCTTACCATTTCCTCTTAGAGCCTTCTAGAGTAGGCCTCCTGCAGTGGTTTTGCATTTTTACTGAAATATACAAGTCTGGACATTTTCAACCACTGAGGTAATACTTTTACAGGTGACAAATAATGAGTTTCTGGGCTGTCGGCTCTGTTTCTCCCTCTTCTCTCATTTATACTCGGGGAAGAAAAGCTATTTTATGACAAGATGCCTTGGGATGGAGCCATCTAGTGTACCTGGGAAGGACTCAAGGAGCCAGAAAAACACAGAATAAAATTAAAACAAATAAAACCCGCAAAACCGGGCATCTCCCAGTGACCCCAACCTGTGGGAACGCTTGTTCTTTTTAATGCTGTGAAGCATTCATTTCGTCCCTTAAGGAGTTTTTTCTTCCCCCAACACACACACACACACAAACTTTCTGGAAAGGGAGATTAAGCCACTGGAGGCCACACAGCGCTGGCATCACCTCTTATAAATATCTTCGAGCCACTTCTCGTCGTCTTGTTCCTCGTCGTCGATGGGCTCCTCGGTTTCCAGTGGGGTCGGGATGAAGAACTGGGGTCTCAGCGGCGGGTGGCTGACCCGAGACTTGAGTCCGAACTTGCGCTTCAGCAGGTGGAACTGCTCCTTGACGTAGTGGTAGAACTCGTATTCATACCTCATTCGCTGGTAGAGGATCTGCACAGCCTCGGCGGAGGGGACGGTCTTCTTCACGGTCACAGTCATGTTTCCAAGTTTCCTATGCTCTGGAAAAGAAGCGGGGTTGCACATGAGCCAGAGTCTGTGATATCCCAGCTTAGAGAGGATGCAGGTGAGCTCCTGAGTTATCTGGTGACCCTGGCAGCTCCCAAGGAAAGAAACTCAACCAACAGACCAGGACTAGAAGGGAAAAGTGGCTTCCCAGCAATGCTGGGGAAGATTTCATCGCATCCCAGGTGTTACTGTCAACACAAGACGACTACACCTAAACTAGCTGACATCCCCTTTGTGAGATGTGAACTGATGGAACTTGATCAGGATTCAGTGCTACCTGTAAGTGATACAGTCTTTTGAGCAGCAAGATCTACCTGCTTTTTATCTTTCATTTCCTGTTACTTTCAGAAGGAAGCACAGAAAAAGGCTGTCTCACCACTTTCTAATCATCTTGGTTTCTTTCATTTGAAAATATGGACGTCCCGGGGAGCTTCCTGACCCAAGGATTGAACCCAGGTCTCCTGCGTTGCAGGCAGATTCTTTATCAGCTGAGCCACTAGGGAAGGTCAGTTGTCTAAATTTGTCATCACCAGATTTTCAACATGTACACGCGACAGGACTCATCAAACCCTGATTTTTGTCCCCTCACTGCTCCAGTGGAGTCAAATTGCTCTTGCTTCCTTGTTGATAACTCAGCGGCGTCTTTCAGGCCTTCTAGGACTTCTTAGCATGACCTCACGGCACCGATGGCCACGCATGCTACCTTGGAACTGCCTTCCTGTGGCGTCGACAGGAGCGTTTCCCCGGTGGTCCTGGCTCTCCTGATCGCTCCTTCGGTGCTCCAGGCCCAGGGCTGTCTGTCCCTTACATATTAGTGCTCCCAGGTCTCCGGTCCTGCCTCTTCCCTCCTCCCTTTCTTCCCCTCTGACCGGTTTCATTCCGTCTTCCACCCTCTAGTTTTCATACCACTGTGGACACACAACCTAAAGTTTATATGAAGCAGTTATGGCTTCTCAGTCCTTTTGTTTTCCACAGAGCTGCCAAATAATAGGAAGGTAAATGACATTGCCAGGGGGTTATTTCATGGTCAGAAATAGTGCTAAAAAAAATAAAAAATTTAAAAAGTAGGAATGCTATTTTGTCACAGGAGAAGCAGAGATTCAGATGCAATCAATACTGATGGCAAATATCTCTTATGGGTTTGGATTATGCCCATATGTATGTTATTTTATTTAATATTCCCAATCAGCCTGTGGGGTGTCATGGCCCCTATCGTGCAGATGGGGAAATAGAAGCTCTTGAAAATTAAATGACTTGCCCAAGGTCATGGCTAGTGAGTAAGCGACAGAGCTGAATTGGAGCCCAAGTCTCTCATTTGTGATGAGGTTTCCCCTAAGTACTGGGCTGTAACCCATGCAGCTTTTGTGAGCCTGCAGAAAATTATCACCTTCATATGGAAAGACTAGAGGGCAGTTTGCCTTTTATGGTTAGCAGAGAATTTTTAAAATCACATTTCGAAGACATATGGTTAAGTGTCTCGCTCTACAATAATCAGCGCTATGGAAAAGTCATTCCAGTGCTAAGTGTTGTACATTTTTGTAAAATGCCAGACTTTCCCTCCAAACAAAACAGAGCTACGTGAACTATGGAATCAGTCTCTCTCCAGATTGCCGTAAGAGCAGTACTAGAGGAAGTTGTTAGGAATTTTTGGAGGCTGTTGTTATTTCAGCCAGAAAACAATCATGCTTTAAAAATCCATACTTATTATCAGCATCCTTTGGGGAGTGAGGCAGCCCTCGTTAGGTGGGTATATACTGTTGAACATAACCATCAAGAAGTGGAGAACTAACTCCACGTGGATCTTTCGAGAAGCAGGACCCCAGAGATGACGGTGAGGAGCTCACGTCTCATGGGTCCCCTGGCGAACATTTCAAAAGAAGACTCAAATACAGAGCAGCTTCCATTAAGGCAGGGGAGGCAGGCGGGCAGTCTGAGATCTGACTGGCGGGCTATGTGTTATTTGACCTGAGGGTAATTTTTTTTTAAAGAAATTGACTTAGTTGTTTTAAGATTTGGTCTATTTCACAAGGAAGTCTGGATTTCTGGCTTCTCTCAAAGTGAGGTGATATTCTTCTGGAGCTGAGCAGGGCTACCCCTCACTGCTGGAGGTCACAGCTCTCCATTTTGTCTCAGACTCTAAGTGCCTGTTCATTCTTTTATGTTACCTGCCTGGCTGCTACAGAAATTTGAATTTTAGGCTTCCAATTAAAAGGTTTTGAAATTCTGAGTTACAGAAACCTAGGAAGCAAGTGCTTTGTGTCCAAATTAAGGCTCTAGTTTGAGCTCATTTGTGTATCCTATCCTCATTTGTGTATTTATGTCACCCTTGCTCCTTACTTTCTGCATTTATGGAATGAGTTTTCTGTACCAGGCATAGGAGTTACCAGTGGTGAATGTGACTTTATCATCATTATCATCTTTAGGCATTTCTGAGTGCTTTTTCAGTGCAAGGACTGTTAAGTTATCTAGCATGCATTTAATCTGTCCAAAGTGAGGCAGCCTCTCTTATTATCACCATTTTACGGATGTGACATTGGAATTTGGTACCTTGGCTCAAGGTCACACAGCTGGTAAGTGGAGAAGCCACAAGTTGGGTCTGAGACAGTCTGACTACTGAGCAAACTCTTAACCCTTCATGTTGCTTATGGTTCGACAGAGCTCACAGTATAAGCTCGTGGGCCTGCTCACCCTGGGGGCAGACAGAGTGTTCCCTCTGGTTGGTTTCATAGCATCAGTGTTTCCTCACCTTGGTCAGAACCCCCTAGTAGAAGGACCAAGGCCAGTGAGCTTGTCTGAAGTACTCCACCTGGAGTTGGGTCTTCTTCTTTTTTTTAAAGAAGCAATCTTTTTCAAGTGCAGTAACTTCGGTTTTGTTTTTTAAGTTTTTATTTAAAAATATTTTGGCTGTGCCATGCAGTATGCAGGATCTTAGTTTCTCGGGCCAGGGATCGAACTTTCATCCCCTGCAGTGGAATCGCAGAGTCTTAACCACTGGACCACCAGGGAAGCCCTGAGTTGGGTCTTTCATAACTACTATAAGGATTCGATCATGTGGATCTGCTATGTGCGCCAGCCTGAACATATAGGGTACATCTCTCTGCTCGCGCACATGTGTATGTTTCCAAAAGATGGAAAACTCTTAGGAGGCCTCTGAGCCACCTTGAAACTTCAAAGAGAAATTTCCCTGGATTTGTTGTCTTCATACACCCACCAGTTCCACCTAGCTGCTCTCCTAACGGAGACTGTTATGCTGAGAGTGTCTGGAGACGGCTGGTACCCCCTCTGTCCTTGTACTTTCACAGCTCAGCACCTGGGGAAACACAGCGCCCTCCACTCAGGCTCCTGGAGTGAAAGAAAGAAACCACCAGAAGGAAGAGGGTGGAGTCCGGCCTGAAGAAGGCGTGGCTGTGTCTGTGAGGTGCAGAGATAGCCAAGTGGAGACAAAGGCAGTATCTGAGCGTGCTTCATAGAAAATCCTCAAGAGACCCATGAATGCCGGGTCTACCCTCACATCTGGGATTTTTCAGCTCCCACTGGAGTCTATAAATTCCAGTGCTTAGCTTTGTGGTTCAGTTGCCTTTTGGGAATAACAGTGCTGGCTATGTCATGTTTTTTTGCCCCTGTCCTTTAATTAATAAATACATTTTGGCAAAGGAAAGCTGTGGTTTCAGCTGACTTTTAAATTTTTTTTTTTCACTTTTCTTATTTACCTTCAGGGATTGGCCAAAGAAGACTCATTAAATCATAATAATTGCTGAAAATTTCCTCAAAGTAGGCACTGGCTTTGAGGTGTGAAATGATCAGAAGGGCAAACAAGCAAGCAAACAGAAAACAACTTCTGATCTCTTTATTTGAATAGCAAACGAAGGACTTTTTTTTTTCCTTACAGACATGTCCAAAGTCAGCCATAGAGTCAGGACTGTGTGAGGACAAACTCTTCCAGGCTCCCAAGTTTCTCACTTCTTATTGAGAAGTGGCTCTGAATGGGGACCCTTTCTACATTGCCAACCCCCAATAACAGAAAATTCTGCAGTTGATCATCCAATGTCGGCAGAGACAAAAAAAAAAAAAAAACCCAGACTATACAATAAGGTCGGTTGTAAGACTGCTGAGTTGGGTCAGCTTGTATTAAAGCTTTATAAAAAGTGGCATAAACAGCTCAAAAACCAGCCTTTCCCCGCATTCTTTCCCCAACCCATCAAAATAGCATCCCCTTCATCTGCACAGAGCTCTGTGGATTAGCATGTTTTCACTCTATCCTCACAACAATCCATTTAACCTGAAGACACGAGAGGTCACAGGACTGGTTCGGGGTTGCATGAGTGACTGTCCTGAAACTAGAAATCGAGCTTTCTGATTCCCAGTCTAGCACCTTTTTGCTTCATCACTGGCTGTTAATTTCCAAATTGAGTGGAAATCTATAACCACCCACTTCTCCTTGCCCTGTGTGTATTCTGGCATTAAGGACATCGGTTGAAAAGAAGGGCTTGAGTGTTCTAAGTCAAGGGGAATGCTTTGGTAAGTCTGGGAGGATCTGGTGAAAAACCTGCAAGCCAGCAAAAATGTTTTCAGACTGAAAGAGACTGTGTCTTTTTCATTTTTAGATCCCCAGTGCCCAGCTCCATGCCTGGCACATAACGACCCTCAATAAAGGTTTGTTGATTTGAAACCTGTATGTTAAATCCATCTGTAAGACTGGATTAACGCGAAGGGCAACTTTTGGTGTTGACTGTACGTATTTTTTTTTTTTTTTTTTGCTAAATTCTTTCCTTAGTGGAAGGTCCTGCCTGAGCAAACTTTCCATGTCTAGAAATCAAATTTCTCTAGGGTAGGCTGATAGGGGAGGTTAGGCTCACAGGTCCTTCAGGAAAGGCAGTATTATTTGCTTTTCTGAGCCACTCCATTGGAGAATGCTGGGTTATGGTGACAGATCATTTCACTGTTAGTGGTCAGTTGCTAAGTCGTGTCCAACTCTGTGACAGCATGTACTGAA